CCCCTGCACTAAGCTGTACTGAAACACTGAACACGTTTCTGTTTTCTAAGTATTCAAGCAAAGCACTGACAGCAGCAGTATGTCAATGGACAGGAAGGTATTATTTCCACAAACACAGTATTGATCCACTCTGTGCAGCCCCAGTGGCCTAATGGATAAGGCACTGGCCTCCTAAGCCAGGGATTGTGGGTTCGAGTCCCATCTGGGGTGGTTTCTAGCACAGTGCTTCCAGCAGAGCCTATTTTGTAGAGTCTGGTGGCTCCAAAATCATCCTCTGCTGTGCTGCTTTTACTGATTTCTTTCACAGTGCAGCTCTTCACATTGGTTCCCTTCAGTCCAGCGAGGTGTCTGTAAGCGGAGTCACGCTGGGAGGCTTATGTGACGGCTCGATCATGTGCTTTTTAGGCCCCGAACTGACTCTGCAAAGTGGGAGGAATTCCCTTATTTTAGATGACAACCCATCGGGGGGAGAAAGTCGCCCGGTGGGATTTTAACCTTGTTTATTGAACCTCATCCGCCTACTTTTTCAGTTTCCTACAGGCTCAGGTAACGATTAACAACAGAAACCTGTCCCACAAACTCTTATTTTAAGTTTTGCCAACTCGGAACCAGCTCTGTTTTTACAGAGGGAACCAGTCCAGCCAGCGTGGATTACAGAGTCACTGCTCTGTTGATTCACAGGAGATTAAAATCAACCCAAATATTTGCTTTAACGATGCAGTTAAACTCTTAATGACATCTAGACTGATCGTGCAGACACTTTGCAATAAAAGGACAGAATTTAAGGAGTGCAGAGGCTGTAAAACTTAAATCTGTGATGGTACAAATAGATCTGAGTGTGTTTTCCTGGTCCTGAAGATCATAAAGAAGATGTCATGTTTTATTTTTGGACGAAAGCTTCGAAAAATGTTTTTATTTAACGAGATTTGATTGAAGCAGTCGTGACAGTGATTGTGGTTTTGATTTTGACTTGAATATGGAAATTAAACAAGTTTCTAAGTCCCCCAAAATATTAATGACAAGATGTCAGGAAGTACAAGGTCATGTTTGAAGTTGCAACAGTCACAAATACAACTTTTATGGCCTTTTTTCATTTTCTAAAAAGCCATAAAGAGCAAGAAGGTTGTTTTAAACTGTGCCTGTAATTTGATGCGTCATTAAAATGTGAGTTCTGCAAGATATTAAATCTGTCATTTGGGCTAAAAGATCTTTATTTATGACTTATTTATTACTACTTTTCTCTCTATGGTGAATCCAGTTCAGTAGAATCGCTTATTTCAAAGCAGTAAAATGCTGAACTGATGGATTTTCCTTCACCTCTCCAGGTAAACGGTCCTGACGACCAAGGCTTCGACAACTTGGCCTACGAGTATGGGAGCCAGAGCGAGCTCTACCCTCCACCAAAATCTGCCTCCAGAGCCACGTTTAAACTCCCAGGAATCACCTCAGAGTTCCAGATCCAAGGAATTGACGCCAGACTCTGCAGCCTGGATGGAATCTCCGCCGTCACCTGGTCTGTACCCGACAGCTTGGCCCAGGTGGACTATGACGCCTCGGCTACTACGACCAAAGACATCGTCCTGGAGCTCCAGGCGCTGGGATACATCGCTGAGTCCGCGGTGCAGATCAGGGTGGACGGGATGCACTGCCAGTCCTGCGTCAAGACCATCGAGGACCAGGTCAGGGAGCTACCAGGAGTTTCATACGTTCAGGTGTCTCTTCAGGAGAGAGCTGCCGTGGTTGTGTTTCAGCCTCTTCTGGTTACAGAAGAAGAGCTGAGAGAAAAGATCGAGGACATGGGGTTTGACGCTGCTTTAGTACCCGAGGACCCTGCAAGAGGAGATTTCAGGGACGCGTTGAATCTGTTCACCCCGACTGTCACCGTCTGGATCGGAGGCATGACCTGCGGTTCATGTGTGCGGTCGATAGAAGGGAGGATCTCCGAGATGAGCGGAGTTCAGTCCATCATGGTGTCGCTGAAGGAGGAAAAGGGAACGATAACCTTTGACCCGAGTCTGACAGAGCCGGAGCAGCTCAGGGCAGCGATCGAGGACATGGGCTTCGACGCATCGCTCAACGGTACGAACTAGCGGGAATCAATTCTGAGGCTTTATTTTGAAAAGTGTTGGTCTTCCTATCTTAGCAAGTCCATCACATGTTTCCACAACTGAATCTGGAATTAAAATGCATCTAAACTAGTCAGTAGGTGGTTAAATATTTAGTCCCTGCGGAAACTTAATACCATTTTTCTAGATAATACACACTTTAAGTTTTGTCAATTAGCTGCAGTACCTGGTTGTACCACCAGATGGAGCCTCTTACTGTTTACCACTGCAGGAGGTGGGAACTTCCATAAACAGACAGCACTGTGGGAGTTAGCTAAAGCTAGATTTAGCTGGAATAATCATATAATAATAATCATTATTTTACAGATATTTAACATTTTTATTTACTGTTTTAACATTTTTTGAATGTTACAGTATTCCATTGATTTTTAAAACATTTTTCTGGCACTAATCCTCACAGATTTCCACAAATGTTTTATTGTTTTTTTTACACTGTAGCTTCTTAAGGCAGCTGGCTGGGTTCTGCAGCGCTCTGGGGACCACAAGCATGTTAGCTGTGTTAGATCATGTTTTATAATATCACTGAAAACAAAGCAAGCTGGTCTTATTTCTCTTTTAGGCTTCTTTTCGCAGTCTTTTGTGCTGATTTGTGATCATTTTCTTCAACACCTTCACTTCTTTGTGGCTTGTTTGCATCTTTTTTGATGAGTTTGTGTCACTTTGTAGCTTTGTTATATCTCTGTGTTCATTTTGCATCTCCTTTTCTACATTTCTGTCTTTCAAATGTTGTTTTTCTTGTCAGTTTTCTTCGTTCTGCCTTCTCTTTAAGCTGTCCTTTAAGCTTTGCTGATCATTTTTGCATCTTTTTTGCAGTATCGAATACGTTTGTGTCTCTTTTCAGTCATTTTGCGTCTATTTCTGTTCATTTAACGTCTCTTTTTCCAAATTTCTGTTTTGTTTTGTACCTCATTCTTATCATTTGGATCTCATCGTGGCTCCTTAATCTCTCTTTGCAGTTCCTATCTTACAATCTTTTATATCTATTTGCGTTCATCTTGCATCGATTTGTTTGTGTCTCGTCCTGATTGTTTTGTGTCTCTTTGCAGTTTGAATCCGAATGGGAGTTTATTAAAGCCACATAAACATATACACATATTACAACAATAAGGAACAGACAGAGGTGAGTTTAGTCGACGTAGGATGAACAGCAATTATCTTCATTCCTTAGTGGTACCTCACTTGAGCTGATTTTGGAACACAAGTGGTGCAGAACTGGTTTTTCAGCTCGCCCAGCTCAAGGTAGAACAGTACCTATTGTTAGAGACACTTAAGTGGCTTTAAGATGGCATCATTCAAGCGATGTTTACCATCCCACCCAGGAAATCTTGTGCGATAGATGTGACGACGCTCTCAGGAGAATATTTACTTCCTCATGCTTCCTCCAAAAGAACAAAATCAAAGTTCTTTATGTGCAACAACACTCTGATTAAACTCGTGCACGCTGCGTCGGACCAACGCGATATTCCCTCGACGCTCGCCCCCCCAACTCGGTTTTCATCGGTTACCGTGGAAACCAGACAAGTATGCTCTCCAGTGCGACTCGGAGGGCTCTCAGGCCGGCCGGGGCTTTAATGACAAAAACAGCTGCCAAGACGGGGAATTAACTGAAGAAGATTATGAGCAGATTCTTCTCATGCACCTTTTTCAATTTCAGCTGTCAGTGTGGAGCTTTCTGCAGCTGCTGGCCCGTTCTGAGGCTAAACGTAGAAACTATAGATCTCTACCAAAGTGCTGTGAAGAACACAAGGTAAAACAAATCCATGCCAGGAGCCCAAACATGCTTTCCTGCTTTCTATATGTTGTAAATTAAAGTGTTGCGTTTCCATTGGAGCAGGAAGAGTCTGGACATGTTGCATCCATCTGTTGCCCTGACTGGAAAAAAATCAGACTAGGCATCATGTAATTAGTTAAAATGAATATCTATCCAAACAATCTGAAGCTAGCATGCTAGAAATGCTAATATTATGGTTGAAGGAGCAGAAGCTGTGTGAGGATGTGTGTTTTTTTCAACTAGCCACTTTATTAGGTACACTAGAGAGGCGTCGCTTCACCTTTATGGTCATTCTGAGGCTGCTCCCATTATTGCAAACCGTTAATCGCTGCAGTTTTTATCCACTTTGTCGTCCGTCTGCCTTTAAGCCTCTCTGGCTCGGGCCCGTCCTCACGATGTTCCTCCTTCTTGCAGAACCTTCAAAGAGCTCCCAGAGTGATGAAAAGTCCAGGCCTGTGAGCTCTGGACTTCCTGACCTCGCCGACCTGCAGTCACGCGGTAAAGCAGGAGTCAGCAATGGCTCCGGATCACAGGGAACCTCTGCAAGCTGCCATCCAAGTTCTCCTCAGATCAAAGCGCAGAAATGCTTTGTGTGTGTATCGGGGATGACCTGCGCCTCCTGCGTGGCCAACATCGAGCGGCACCTGCTCAAACACCAGGGTGAGGCGCTTTCTGAACCTGCAGCGTTTCCACCGAGGAGTGAGTAATTGATGCGGTAAATTGTGTTTGACTTCCAGGAATCATCTTGGTGTTGGTGTCGCTGATGGCTGGAAAGGCGGAGGTGAAGTACGATTCAGACGTCCTGGATGCTGCTGCTGTAGCTCTGCTCATACAAGAGCTGGGCTTTGGCGCCACACTGATAGAGGATGAAGCAGCGACACGAGGAAAACTGGACCTCACGGTAAGTTCGCCATCACATCGTGCAGGATTCGACATGAAATCCCCCAAACAGTCTGTGTTTCCACCATCTCCCTCCAGATAACCGGCATGACGTGCGCATCGTGCGTCCACAACATCGAGTCCAAACTCACCACAACCAAAGGGATCCTCGGGGCCTCGGTCGCCCTGGCAACCAGAAGAGCACAGATCCAGTTTGACCCCGAAGTGCTCGGAGCTCGAGACATTATCAAGATCATTCAGGTATTTTAATTGTTGTCTCTAATCTCCTAAAAGACTTGATGTTATGAGGTTGATGGTGTTTTTTCTTCCAGAGTCTTGGATTCGAGGCGAGTCTGGTGAAGGAGGGCTTCAGAAACAACCTCGATCACACAGAACAAATCCGACAGCAAGTATCTCTTCTTTAAATGTGTCGTGGTAACTTTTAGAAACCACACATTTGTGAATTATGCAGAGAAACAGTAAGTTTGGAGATTAAAATCCTACCAGGGGATGTTTTAGATCCTCCATAAACTTTAATAAATCATAAAGACTTGGTTGTGTTGCTCTCCTTCTAGCATTACGTAAAGTTTAAAAACATCCAGAAGGATTTGCTAGCGGAGGATTGTGTTGATGTTCTGGTTTAGATTCTTCACACATCTGCAATAAACCACCCCAGATGGGACTCGAACCCACAATCCCTGGCTTAGGAGGCCAGTGCCTTATCCATTAGGCCACTGGGGCTGCACTAGGATGAGGAATATTATGTGTGTGCATCCATGTGTTCCTGCAACGCACCATCCAAAGACCAGCACCTGATCCTTTAAGCCACCGGGCCTCTTAAAACGACACATAAACACATAGAACTCAGAAAACAGACCAAAGGCAGCAGATAACGTGACACAGAGTTTCTTGCTTACCTGTCCAGGTGGAAGAACTCCTTCCTGCTCAGCCTGGTGTTCGGCCTGCCGGTCATGGGCCTCATGATCTACATGATGGTGATGGACAGTCAGCACCAGGACCATGGAGGCTCCATGCCTGTGGAGCAGAACCTGCTGCCGGGCCTCTCGCTCCTCAACCTGGCCTTCTTCCTGCTCTGTACACCTGTGCAGGTAAGAGGAACCTTTCATCGCACGTTTATCGCTTTCCTCCACATTTATTCTGTATGTTTGTGTGTTTCTTTCTGCAGTTCCTCGGAGGAAGACACTTCTACATCCAGGCGTTCCGCTCTTTAAAACACCACACCGCCAACATGGACGTGCTGATCGTGCTGGCCACCTCCATCGCCTACATCTACTCCTTCGTGGTCCTGGTGGTGGCCATGGCTGAGAAGGCCAGCCAGAGTCCCGTCACCTTCTTCGACACGCCGCCCATGCTCTTCGTCTTCATCTCTTTGGGACGATGGCTGGAGCACGTCGCAAAGGTAAAATAAATCATCTGTCCTGGGAGCGTCCGGGATTTTACTGCTGTGTTTTCATGGCGTTTTAACAGGATGTTGTTTTAGTTTAGGAGACGTTGTGGTTTAATGATTTACTTCATGTCAGCTGTAACACAACCATAAAAACACAGTAAATGTCCTGAAAACAGAGAAAGAAGACAAAGTTGACTTCGAGCAGAAATCCCAGCAAGTACCTCTGAACATGTAGATATAAATACACATTTATGATCATTGCTCTAATACTTGAAACACTTTTCATTGGTTGGAATTGATTACGGACTATTTTAGAGGTGCAGTGTTTCCATTAAAATGTGTTGAGTTATTTAACCTCTGAGGTCCAATCAGCAGGTTCTGGGTGCTTTTTTCATGGAAACAGAACAACCATGAAGAAGGAGAGAGAACTCAGAAAGGTCTTATAACACAGCTAAATGACAGAAACCACAAAAAAAGTGGAATTTCCTTGATTATTTATTTTACAAGAACCATAAAAACATAAAATCAATCATTTTTCCCCACATGTTGAACTATTACTACATTTTGAATTAGTTTTCTTCCCGTCTCCTCTCTGCTCTGTATAAACACAGTCTGTAGTTCAGCCCAATATTTCGTGATTTCAGTGAAATATCGTGATTTTAAGCTTAGATTTGATTCATTTTCTCGACCGACCTGCACATCACAGATGAGTAGATCAAGAATTGTTAGAAAGTTGAAAATCTGCCAATTATTTCTGTTTAACAGTTTCTGGTTCTGCTACACGGTGTGGTTTTAGTGATTTTTTTTTTTTTTTTTTTTAAGATAACATGCCTTCCAGAGCCACCAGCAGGTTTAATAATTACATCCACTGATTGCAGTGTTGCTCTTCTTGTCAAAACACTGATACCATGAGGTTCAAAACACTTCCAGCAGAGAAACAATGGAAGGTTCAACATGCTTCCACTTAACAAGAAAGCACCCCAGATGGGACTCGAACCCACAATCCCTGGCTTAGGAGGCCAGTGCCTTATCCATTAGGCCACTGGGGCTGCATGCTGGTGTGGAAAATGAAGTTATTACCAACCTTCTTCCTACAATCACATGCATGGAATAATAAAAAAAAAAGAGTTCACTGACTGTTTCTACATTTTTAGGGTAAAACGTCTGAGGCTTTGGCCAAACTAATGTCGCTGCAGGCTACTGATGCCACTGTGGTCACTTTGGGACCCGACCACTCCATCATCAGGTGAGACACACCGGACACTATAGACACGAACGTTACAACAGCACAACACGAAGCTCTGACTGTGTTTGTGGTCCTCAGCGAGGAGCAGGTGGTGGTGGAGCTGGTCCAGAGGGGCGACATCGTCAAGGTCGTGCCTGGAGGAAAGTTTCCTGTCGACGGGAAGGTGGTGGAGGGAAGCTCCATGGCCGACGAGTCTTTAATCACAGGTAGAGCTGCAGGGGGTTCCTGTAACACGCTGGATCCAGATTATCCAGATCCATCTTACTTTTTGTTGTCCAACACTTCCCTCTGATCACACACAAGCTTTATTCTGCCTGTGTCATTCAAAGATTCCCTTTTTTAAAACTAGATTCTGTAAAAAACAAACACTTCTGCCCTCTTTCACACAACTGAGAAGCCATGACTTTGTGGGAAAAGTTTAAAAATGTGATCCTTTGTTTCATTCTAAAGGCACAAAATCACTGCTCATCGTAAAACTTTCATCATTCTAATGTCAACAAGGTTAGAAAACGAGCAAATGATGCAACACATCAGCGATAATAAAGTGCTGATTTACACAGAGAGCTGAGTTTACGTGAATAAAACAGGCTGTTGGTACATTTTTATTGTTGCTGTGGCCTGTGGATAATTTTATGAGCTTCATTTTCATTTCAGCTTTTTTTTAATGTGTTCTTTTTGCAAACTGAACACGAGCTGAGAGGATGAAAGGAAGACAAATAAAGATTTTATTCACACAAATCTGAACAGTGAAGTTTGCTTTAGTTCGTTATTTATTAGTGAATAAATCAGATTATTACATGCAGAGTTTCATCTCAAATAAACACAAACCAAAATGCTTGTTGTCGTTTTTCTTTCTCCCTCCCGGTCAGGTGAGCCGATGCCCGTCAGTAAGAAGTCAGGAAGTTTCGTGATCGCCGGCTCCATCAACGCTCACGGGTCCCTGCTGGTGGAGGCAACGCACGTCGGCGCTGAAACAACGCTGTCTCAGATAGTCAAACTGGTGGAGGAAGCGCAAACGTCAAAGGTAGGAGGCAGTGTGGAGTTTGTTTTTTTCACATTTTCGCACAGTGCAGCCATAAAATCACACACTTCAAGACTTCAACAGATGTGTCACAAATAAAAGCGCTGCAAAACAGTCGTATTAGACCATTAATACTGAATATAAGCAACATTTAAACCTCTAAATCAGTTTGAGACACTTTCTAAGGATCATAAAAAGAATATGACACTATAAATCCCAGTTTTTATATAAATTCAGGATTTATTTCTACTCAGGCTCCCATCCAGCAGTTTGCAGACAGAATCAGCGGATACTTCGTGCCCTTCATAGTCCTCGTCTCCGTGCTGACGCTGGTTGCCTGGCTGGCGATTGGGTTTGTCAACTTTGACATCGTGAAGGAACATTTCCCGGTACGTCCGCTCACACAGATGTTTTCACAACAAAAAGCAGCTTTAATAAAGGTCTGACGTTCTCTTCGCAGGGCTACAACCCGAACATCTCCAAGGCAGAGGTCATCGTCCGCTTCGCCTTCCAGGCTTCCATCACGGTCCTGTCCATCGCCTGCCCCTGCTCTCTGGGGCTGGCGACCCCGACAGCCGTGATGGTGGGAACCGGCGTCGGAGCTCAGAACGGGATCCTGATCAAAGGAGGAGAACCGCTGGAGATGGCTCATAAGGTAACGCACTTCACACCTTGTAGTGGAACATAACCAGCATGTAAATGTCCACAGAACCCTGAATGTAGTTCTCTGTTGGGTTGAATCATCAGAGGCCTTCTGATCGACCCGCTTTCAGCAGGTTTTTTCCGCACATGTAAATATGAGGCTGTTTGAACAACAATATCTCAGGAAAGATTAAAGATTAAACCCTGAAACCTCCACTGTTGTTTCTCATCATGTCATTGATTCAGAATCTGTATGATTGGACAAGTTGATCAAATAATCTCTGATTAAGGATGAGTTGTAAAATAAAAAAGAAATCGTAGTTGTGGTGAAAATTCCCATCTCTGAGCACATGTTTAGTCAGCGAGGGATATTTTCTGAACCATATGTAGCTTCAGGTCACAGTAATGCAAAAGAAAACATATAGAATAGTTTTAATATGACATATTTGATAACAAAAATGAAAAAAAAAATGTGTTAAACTTTCATAACTGATCTGAGATGGTCTGAACCAGGTAGAACACAGTTTGGGATTTTAATGGTTCTCAAAATATAAGCAAGAATGTTTTATTATGGGCTTATTGTTAATTTTCAGACGCTACTTTGCAGGTTGGAGAAAGAGTGGGATGACAGGCAGCTTTAAAACAATATATATCTTAGAATGTATTTAATGTATCAAGCTTGAATTTCGCTAGTATCTTGATAAATATCCATATTTTCTTGTAAGAAAAAAAACGACAATCACATGTCAAAAATGCATTTAGTTTTCAGGTGAGAGGATACTCAAACATACTGGATCAATAAATTAACTGCAGCGTGGCTCTAAAACAACTGTGGGCACTGAAGTGGCTCCTCCAGTCAAAACAGTAAAGTGAAAGAAAAACAGCTCCACAAAATGTTTGAATAATGACCTGACTGAAAAACAGTACGGTATGTGGACATGCAACATACCAGCTTTAGGATCATCTTCTAATCTGAACCATCAATGACACAGTTGTCTCAAACAACTGCTCCTTTACATTTAAACCTGTCAACTTTCACTTTCAAACCCGATCAGTGTCTGTTTGAGTGAACTGGTGACACCTTGTGGTACCAGGTGTTACAGCTTCAACACAGAAACATTTATTCCAACAATCTAAAAGTCTAATCTGGGTGTGTTCTCCTCAGATCGGTGTGGTGATGTTCGATAAGACCGGTACGATTACAAACGGTGTTCCTCGGGTCACTCGAGTGCTGGTTCTGTGGGAAATGGCCCGGATGCCCCTGAGGAAGATCCTGGCGGTAGTCGGCACGGCGGAGACCAGCAGCGAGCACCCGCTGGGCCTGGCGGTGGCCAAGCACTGCAAAGAGGTGAGAGGCTTGTTTGTGTCCTTTTGTTCTGCTCTATAAATCTTCAGCGGCAGATAAAAGCAGCGTTACCTCCAACAGGAGCTGGGCTCTGATGTGTTGGGGTACTGCCAGGACTTCCAGGCGGTTCCCGGCTGTGGGATCAGCTGCCGGGTGTCCAGCGTGGAACATCTGCTGCTGCAGCAGAGCGGGGAACGGTTCCTGCTGCCCGGAGCCACGACCGACGAAAGCTGCCTGCTGCCTGAAAGGGAGGCCGCCTCTGCAGGTCGGAGCTAACAGTCAGAGTAACATGTTGTATGTGTCATCCCATGAAAAACACTCCGGTCCTCCCATCTCACCTCCACAGAAGTTTAAGTAGATTTAATAAAGCCATGCAAGATTTTACTGGCCCATTT